CCCCAAAACCCCAAAACCCCAAAACCCCAAAACCCCAAAACCCCGAGTTTTATTTATAAAATTGATATAATGTTTAATGCATTTGTAGTGAGGAAGGGCAATAAGAGAAGTGCCACAACTGAACAGAGTAAAAAGAAGTAATCCAATAAGCCTCTCTTCGTCAGATTTAATTTCTTACTCACAAGTTTCAACAATTTTAGCAGTTACCAATTTTTCTATAGAGTAAGAGAGAAACTGCGTAAAATAAAACAGAATCAATACGCAGAGAGAGCTAACATAAGAGCAGATGCATGGGTCAGGATGGTATCGCAAGAGCCGGCTTTTAGGAACAGTAATTACTTCCCTAAACATTATAGCTTATCATAAAGGATCATTTCCTCTTAAGAACGAGAAGGATCATGTGTTCAAAGATATTGACCCAAGGTCAAAGCTAAAGAAATAAGGACTTCTATAACTACACTTACAGGCCTGATCACCAGAAGGCTGAAGAGGCATGAAAGGCGAACAATGAACGAATCCTGAACAAAAATATCTACTCTTACACTGACATGTAGCTCAAAATTCTAATAATTCTAGGAGCAAAGATTGGTTGAGAAAAAGGACATCCAACAAGGAAATCCAGCAAGTCTTTAAGTTCAAAGGCTACAAGTCAGATAATGAGCGACTCAAATGGCACAGATTTAGAGATATACCCACTGATACAGTCGTTATTCCCAGTAAGATTCAGCCTGACCTCTTTAGTGAAGAATAAATTCTACATCGACCCTAAATGGAAGACAACTACTCCTAAATAAATGGGTGTCCGATAAAATCTTTAAGACAGGCAAGAGTACGACATGGAAGAAGGCGCTAACAAACTGAAATGATGAGATCTACGATCCATACATTGATGGATTTGATGTAACAGGGGATGTTAAAATCAAGAGGAAGAAGCAGGACGATGTCAGCAAGAATGTCTTCTCCTCGACTGTCAGACCTCATCCTTACAGCGAAGACCAGCTATTTACGACCAAAACTATTAGAAGTTTTAAGTCTGTACAAGGTAAATTAAAAATCACCATTTGGTTTAACGCTTTAGGTGCCTTTTCATGAACCAATCCAGGCATGATTAGATCAAGATCCATCGCAGACTTCAGAGAGACAAAGATTCCAATGCAAAGGAGGAGCTCTGAAGGCTTTTTGCTCAAAATTGCTGCTTCAGACACCAAATCAGATGCCTCTCCTGTGATCAGAAGAAAAGATGCAAAGGTGCTTGAAGTCGAAATAGACGACATTGAAACGCAAGATCTCTATGAGCTCGAAAATATGAGGTTCACTCAGACCCAGGATATTAGGATCCCTGGAAAACAAATAAGTGCAACTAAGAACAAGAACTTCGTTGAGTCTAAAGATATAAACGATAAATATGTACTAGCTAGTCTATCCAAATCAAAGATGTATTACAAATCTGTCCAAGGAAGAATGGTCAGTCCTAAAGTTCAAAAAGGAAAGAGCAGTACCGCAAGGAGACCACTTGAGAACTACAGATATAAGGGTAATTCCATGGACACCATATCCAGACTAGTCCCTCATTCTTCAAAGAGGTCAGCCAGCTCTCTTGAAGATATTCCACAATAATTCATCTATTAGATGACAATTTCCCTTTGATTTGGGGTTTTGGGGTTTTGGGGTTTTGGGGTTTTGGGGTTTTGGGG